TTTATTTATTTATTCATTCAATTGACAGGAATAAGACCCTTTGGTGTCTAGAGTTAAGAACGGAGGAAATTATACAAGATTTCCAATATATAGATCGAATTTCATACGAAAAACAGAAAAAAATTTTCTTCCTGTTCTTTTTGAAATCATTCAATTTGATGAGGGGGAGCACCAATCAAGCTACATTTAAAAGAATTTAAATTTAAGAGAATTAAAAAATAGAAGAATTGAAAGAACGCAGAGAGTTATTTAAAAAAATCCAGAATGGAATAGTAGAGTAGTAGAATTGTCCGCCAATATGCAAATTCTATCTATACAATTAAATCTTGCCGCACATTATCCGATATAATACTCATATAAAATGTATTAAACGAACGAATCACTCGGGATGACACATAATAATAATAATAACAATAATAGCATTATTGGTTCCGAACAAACTGATAAGAAGAGTGGTACAATACAAAATTGACAATAATAACATAAAATCTGAGTAATAAGAATGACAATAACATAAAATCTGAATAATATATAATAATATTAATAATATATATAATATATTAATATTAGTGACTCGGGACACGCTACAAGACTATGCATCAGTTTAAATAAGAAACGCCAGAAATAAACAGATATGCTTCTCATGTTCCTTTCAAATGTTCAGTTTCGGGAATTTCAGTTTCGGCGTTGACGCGATCCATGAAATCCGGAAATGGCCGTTGTCCGACGAAATTGTCGGCCGGGCCGTCCGTCACCGTCGCGTAATTTATCTCGAGTCGTGTGTATAGGACTCATCCGACTGTCAATTGCGACTTAAGCGCGGGCGTACGCGCCATCCCGGCGAAGAGGGTCCCGGTGGTATAAATCCCCCGAGAGAGCGGAGCTTTTCGCCCTCTAAGAAGACTGGCCGGATCCTCTCAGCCACGTGCACGCGCGCGGGCGCGCTCGCCGGCGAAACACATTCGCCAAAATACACGACGGCCGTTTCCATGGCTGCCAGAATTTACTGAATACCCCGGCGAGACCATCAGCGACGTCGTAGTCGTTTAATCTGCCGGGGGTTTCCGCCTAGCCCGGCGCGTGCACGAGCAGGGACCGGCGGCCCCCCGTCGTTCCCTCGCCCTTCTCGCGCGCTTACCAGCCGCCCTCCACCATCCTCTCCCCCGTCCCGCACCTTCCCGCCCTACCTTTAGCCTCGGCGGGAGCACAAGCAACCGACCCGGCACCAAAGCCCACCCCGGCGTGTGTGCTTGGCGTAATTAACCCAAGTTACGAGATACGTTTATACACAGCGCGTACACACTGTGCGGCGCGGCGCGCGGCCAGGAAATTACTTCTGGCGGCGTGGACACCCCTTTATCCGCGCGAGCGACAATGGACTTTTTACCGCGGACGCGAAATGGGAATGTTTCTGATTTCGTTCGCGTCGCTGCGTCCACCGAAACGCCTCGTTGATCGAGATTAGACACTCACGCGACCTCGTGCGCGGCGATGTAATCGCGAGGATAAGTTGAAGAGAAAGAGAGAGAGAGAGAGAGAGAGAAAGCTGTTGATGGACTCGTGGAAATTCGTTCGCGGAGCTGAAGTATTAATCTCGTGTCCGTGAAAACCTCCCTTGTCCGGTTAACATTGTTCCTCAACGCGTCCACCGCCGTGCTTTCCACGCGATTTCCATTGATTATTTTAAAGCTCGATTGAGAGGTCTGAATAATAGGTCGAAAAGGTAGGCAAATGCAATTTACGAAGCGTACGTCTGTTAGCTCATGTCGGTAGCCCGCTATTGACATATTGAATTTGTTAGGTGCAATTAGTTATGTTTTACGTGTAACTTAATGAGGTGCAGGAGTATTCTTTCTTTCTCTTTCTTTCTCTTGCGTTAATTTAATGAATAAATAAATAAAAATAAATACAAAAGAAAAGATTCAAGAGGTGCGATACTTCTCTCTCGCGTAGATACAAATCTTAGATACAAATAAAAAAGCACAACTAAATTCGATATATCGAAGGTTCACCATTTCTTTCGCATATAATATTTGGAACAAGCGAGTAAAGAAGTGAGAAAGAAATGAATAAAGAAGAAAGAGATTACAGGTTGCAAGATATTAATCTGAATAATTAATGAATAATTAATCTAAGGAAGAAAATATCCCGCCCATAATTTGCAGCTACTCGTTGTAACCGGACATATCAGAAAGGTATTTTATTAGGTCATACATTCTAAAAGTACATAACAAAAATAATACTATAACTTACCGGTACATCATATACTTTTGGTCGCGTTAGGCAAAGAAAATAGCGCCCAAGTCATAGGATTCAGACAGCCGATCAAACCTGACATTCTCCGTTGCGCTTTTCTATTTATACGCGGTAATCTGTCGCAGGGAGCAATAAATCTTATCGCTCGTTCGCTTTAATTGACGTATTTGCGGTAACATTATGCACCGCCGCTACGGGCGGGCACCTTATAAACAAGTTATAAAGACACCATTAGCCCGTGCGAAGCACGAGTAATTAACCTAAATTACGATCCCTGCACCCGAGGACCCCGGGCGCAATACATAAGCGCGCTCGTTGCCGTAAGAGCGAGTTCGACTGCAAGAAGCGGATTCTCTCGGCCGACAAAGTATATGCATATATACGCGCGTACCCGCCGGCTCATTGCGCGGGCTCAAGAAATGTACATTATCCAACAGCGTAACGCACACCAAGTTACCCCGGGTCTCTCGGTCGGGCAACATAATTCTGCCGGGATAACCGGTGTAGGGCTGCGCGTCCGTGGAATAACGCGTGACGAGTTATCACCCGGGCATGCCAAGGCACGAGCCACAAGCATTCCAGTCACGTATCCGTGAAGTACGAGTGTATGTAAAAAAAAGTCGCGGCGCTCTCGCGTGACATTGATGTCGGACGACCGGAAGCGAATGTCGCGATCTGCGAAATCATACATGTACAAAAGAGTTACACCTGTAACATAAGCATTATTTTATTGGCCGGAGTCGTGGTGTGTGACAGTGCGAGTAACAGAAAATAATATCGAGCGGTGCACACACACACACACACACACACAGTACGCGTCGTAATATCGATATAGTTTCAATAATAATATACGGCTTGATCGTGAATCGAGATCTACGATTTAATATTTAACTCCGATATCGGTTACTTCATATATATGAATTGTCAATAATAATATCTGATACAATAGGACGCATAATTCACGCGCAATATATTCTCCATGTGGGCAATAAAGAAGCGATTATTTTCGGGATGCTTCGCCGCTTCGCTGAGAATTTTCCGAACGATATTATCGATTAAAGTTCTCCCCCGACGCGGAAAACGTCGGTTCGACGATTGCGCCGTTAAGTGTACCATTTATCTTCTTCGTGCCTCAATGCGAAACTTTTGAAATAAAATAGCTTGATAGTCGGCCTCGCCGCGCGTTACATTGGCTTATAAAAGGACACAATTTCTCTTTCTCTCTCTCTCTCTCTCTCTTCCTCTCTCTCTCTTCCTCGACTAGGAGCCTGTCTGCTTCTCGTGGGAAGCCGGGCTCGCCAAAGTTACGACAGGTAATAACAAACTTTCGTATTCTTCCTCCTTGCGACGCAAATGAAACGCTCGAGCGGGCGCGGGTTAATTTATATCAATTACGCCGACTGATATGATTAAAGCCGAAGAGGAGAGCAAAGAGGTGGATTAAGAAGTTATCCCTCATATCGCGTGCTCGATATTTCCTCTCCTCTGTCTCTCTTTTTTTTCTCTTTTTTCTACCAATTACCTTGGGGAAAAAGACTGACNTAGACTGACAACGTGTCCGTCTGACTGGTAATTTCGCTTCTGGGAATTCCCGGCCCCGTATCCTTTCGTTGTTCAATTAGGCGGCGTTCGCACGGAGAAACGTTCCTTAAACATTCAGACACGGGTACAAGGCAATTGTTGCTATGTCGCCAATCAACGATAATACCGATGATATCGCGAGTAATGTAAGGAAAAAAAACAACAACGTAATATCGCGCGGGAGACGCGCGTCGCCCGTGTCGTCTCTCGTTCCGAGGTAAACGAGGCAAAAGAATAAACGGCCAAGATAAAACGAAAGCCCCTCGCGTGTCACGCGCCGAACGGAAACCTAATAAGAATTTCTCAAGTAATTAAAAAGCTCGTAAAGCACCGCAGGCTATTATCGTCCATTAGCTGGTAATCACGGCGCGATCGCGCACAAGTCACAATGTCTCGCTCGCAGAGCGAGCGGCCGAGCGAGAAGGGAGTGAGTGAGAAGTAGGTTTTTAACGGAACTGTTTTTATTAAAGCTGAGTGCTCCGCCTCCCCCTGCCCTCCGTCTGCACGAGGAGAGTGCAAGAGATTTCTCTTCCTTTCTATCTTTTCTATCTTCCTCTGCCCGGTCTTGTTTCCCGCGCGGCCGAAGTAAGCGGCTTTACTCGCGCTCGGCGCTCTCTCTCTCTCTCTCTCCCCGAGCGAAATTGTGGCGGTCGAAATTGCGTGTCTCGGTGTGCGCATAAAGGGGACCGAAACTCACGCGGCGGCAGGTACATAATCGCGACTCGGTGAGCAGGCATTTATTTAATACATGCCGCGAGAAGTTGTCGCGCAGTTGATACGCCCGCCGCGGATGCGCCCGCTCACAGGATCGCGTATTAGCCGTTTAACCCGCCGCAAGAGTCCGAAATTACTTCGGAACTGCCGGGGACATTGTTAGCTCCACGGCTGCATAAACATGATCCGCTTTTTCGTTCGCGTACGTAATAACGCGGCGCTCTTGGAGACGGTGCCTCGAGTGACTCGGCGACGGAAAGTTCGAGCCACTAGTTCGGCGACTGCATCAATTTAAAATACTTTCTCACTCGCGTAATCGTGATAGAAATAATATATTCTGTTATGTAACTTAATTGATTTGTGATACGTAGAACGTCGTGATATCATCGTTGATTAAGAAAACTCAACGTTACGTGGTCTCTCTCCCTTCCTTCTTTTCTTCCGTTTCCTCAAAACAGAGTGAAGTTGCTTTTCGGCTTCTTCGCGAAATCATTAAAGTGAAATACTGTGAGCGAAAAAGTCGAGAATTAGAAAGTCGAGAATTAGAAGTCTTGAAATTTAGATGTAATTGAGGAAGAATTGAATAGCAGAAAACGAAAGAGAGTTTCATACTTGACATCTTGTCGTCGGGCTGCTTTTTATCGTCCTGCTGCAAAGGCTTTGTAGGTGGGGCGGTCGGCGCTTCTCCCTCGAAACGTATGGGCGACACGTTGGAGATGGGAGATAACCGATAATTGCATAGAGATCCGTCGTATAATGACATGGAACCTGCGAGACACGGTGGAATTTGTCGTACACGAGATTATCTCTGATCTCATGCAAATATTAATAATTATATCAGACAAATATTAATGACTGTGTTAAATACATCAGATATTTGTACTCATGTAGCTAATATAACATAAAATAAGTAGGACAATAAACGAAGAAGGAGCCTTACTTATTTATGTAAAAAATGTCTAAAAGTATACTTTGAGGATCGTATTTTGAATTTTAGCTGATTCGAAAAGAAACAGATGAGAAAAGTAGAGAATCGGAAAATTAAAATCAAAGATTCCATACATATCGATGCAGCTGCCAATTTGGCTAATGTATGAATATAGTTTTAAAGTTTCGGAGAAAAGAACCGTTTTCTCCCAATTTATCACTGCACTTTTTTGGCTTCTTATCTTCTTTACTTAAAAAGTAAATGTGACAGATTTTAACCGAATACACGTGAATTGTTTCAAACGAAATTTTGTACATTTGGAACAGAAACCGAAGAAATCCGCGGAAAAATGGGGAAAAAACTGATTTCTCCTCGAAACTTTAAAGCTATACGTACACGGGGGAAATATTCTAGTAAAAATTACCACAAAACTTTGTAATATTGGGCCATATCAAAATTACAATTGCAATTACGATACATGTTGTAATCGTTAGTGATGTACTTTACAGTATACATCAGTAAAGATTACAACACACATAATAATTCACAGTATAGTGTATAAGAAATATAATGAACCAAGTGAATTACAACCTTTCGCGAAGTCCTGGTCGAAGGAGCTTAGGTTGCTCTCGCAGAACTCGTAATGCGGCGGCGAAAATATATTGCTCGTCGCGCCGCTCGGGCGACGTGCCAGGTTTGGCAGCAGGGGTACGTTGTAGTGCACCGTTTCTACTTTTCTAATTTTCGGGACCGACGTCGACGATTTGAGCAACTCTGCGTTATCGTTTTGGGCAACGATCGATGGCCGAAGGACATTTATCCTATTGCTACTACTTCCCTCACTGTTTTTCCTTTGAAGTCGCATTCTTTTCGCTTCAATTTCGTCCTGTGTACTCGTGGCGGCACTATGCTTGAGCAGGCTCCCCTTTGTGCGGGGACTTGTCTGCGTTTTCGCGGACTGCTGCGACTGCTGACTGGTCTCTTCGTCCCGATGGATCTCCTTCATTTCTACGTCATTGTCCGCTGAAGCTGTTCTTTCGACCGCGTCCGTCTCGACATCCGCCGGCGCTGCCGAAGCAGCAGGCGTGTTCGTCTTTTCGGGAACGGCGGGTGTTTTCGGATCATGGCTCTCCGTCTGGACGACGGTATATTCGGGGTCCTTCTCGTGTACCGACTCCACGTTTATTTCCTCGGGCGACATTATGGTGGACTCGGTTATACATAGTTCTTCCAGAGCCATGGTATTGATGGACACGTTATCTAAAAATCGAAATACAATGCACTGGAATCCTCTTGGGTTCCATTTAGAGAGAGAAAGAGAGAAAGAGTGAGAGAGAGGGGGGGGGGGAGAAAGAGACTAAAGTATTTGTTTTCACCGTCAAAATTTTCGGCTTGTAGCCATTGGTGCTGAACTCTTATATGCGTTTGAGGCGTACGAACGTACATTTGCTGGTACGGTATGTTGATTTTCGGTGGTGCCATCTCTAACATCTGCTTCCGAAGTCTCCTCTGATCTTCCTGCCTCTTGTGTTGCGCTTGTATCTGTGAAGGTCAGAAGATCGCGTCACTCGCGTCGTTGGAGAATTAACCCGAGTCGAAATTTTTAATTTTACATTATGTCTTCAAAAGGAAGAAAACGGAAATAAGTTCCTATTTATATTTGTAGTATCAAAAGAATATAATAAATACTCCTTGGTTTATTAAAAAAAAATGTTTACGTTATATTAACTATATGAGTACAAATATCTGATGTATCTAATGCAGCCATTAATATCCTTCTTTAATACTACAAGTGAGAGTTAAGACCTCCACAGTCTAAATTTTAGTTCTACACTAAGTCGTCAAAAGTAGAGAAAACGGCAATAACTTCTCCATTTGTAGCATCAAAGAAACATAATAGAAGACTTTTGAAGATTTAATGTAGAACTAAATTAGACTTAAAGGAGGATTAAAATTTCAACTCGAGAACTCTTAGAATTAACTACTTAGAATAAGATTAGAATAAGCTACATTCCGGTCTAATGGGTCGCTGAACTCTTTTGGTTTTTCCGGCTTTCACACGACGTATTATTTTTTTTCTTGAAAAATATTAGACGTCCGTTACAACGAACGTACATTATCTTTTTCTTAAATCGCACTTGCGAAAGCATTTGGGAATTATTTCCGAAAATATACTTTTTTTTATAATAATAAGTTTAGTTTAAATCCAAATCACAAACATTTATTCAGACTCTGTATTTACGATTCCCACATTACAAGCTTAAAACTACTAATTAGAATAAAAATGACAAGGCAACAAAGTCGAACGGTCTCACTGACCGGATTGTGGTGAATTACAGACTTGAAGGTAAATGTGGCTAGCTAGAATTAAGAATAGAACGGCGAAAGAACAACTCGATTGTGACCAGATACCTCCATCTCGAGCGATTGTAACTCCTTTCTGTGGTGATTTACGTTCCCCCTCAGTCTCGTCAACCTCTCCTCCAATTTCAATCGTTCCGCCATGAAGTAGACGAACTCAATTATCTTGCAGCGCATACGGACCCAATTGATACGTTGTCTCTGCTGAATAATCGTCACCATCTCCGTCTTCTTGTAAGTCATCACCATATGCTCGATTTGCAGCTTCCTCAGGCTGATCTTGGCCGCGTTTCTGGCTTTCGCCAGCGGAAATTCCTCGTACATAGCCTGTGCATATAATATACAGTTATTCCGATTATTTCGTCGAATATCAAAGTCTCGCGAGTACACAATATCGCTACTGACGTGATAAGCATCCGACGTGTTCTTGTAGTCGGCGATGATGTCTTGATACTCTTGCGCCCTCAGCTCCATCAATTTATACTGATCGTCGATATTCGCTCTCATAGCCTCCACCTTGTTCGTCGTCTCGCTGTTGCTTATATGCAATCTACATATGCAAAACAACGAAATTCCAATATGCGTATCAAAGGAGAAATCCGATAAAAAAAAAGGAAGTATAAAATATTCGGTATAAAGGTATAAAAAAGTAGGCAGCTGTAGACGATGATTTTGGACACCGTACCTCGTTAAGCTCTCGTTCAATCTCACATTGATTTTCTGCATTTGCGCCACCTGCTCCTTGAGCTGCTTCCTCCTGCTGATTTCGTTGCGTATCTTGGTCCTCATCCTCGCTATCGCCAACGAGTTAACTGGAAACCACCGGCGATAGTTTTACAGTAAACCACGAAACGAGGAGGCAGGTTTTAACGTTCGATAAGCAAGGATATCTGCGATCGCACGAGACTCGTGCGAGTAATATCGCGCGTATATCGTAAGAGGAGTTAATTTCGCTCTCTCTCTCTCTCTCTCTCGTTAGATGGTGCGTCACACGTACGAAGTACTTGCATTACGGTATATTACGACACGGTGGGCATTTGTATCACCGTGACCTATTTCACGGTGAGACGCGTTTATAGATACTTCAAGTTCCCCTTATATGTGAAAATTCCATTCCCTTCGCCGTGCCGAGTCTCACGTTTTGAGTTACATTGTTACGCACAGTAGTGCACCCGCTTTTCACTTTACCTGCTAACTTTTCCCTGCATGCCCTAATTTCCATCTTCAAGCAGGTCTCCAGTACGTTCATGAATTGGGGATCACCGTGACACGCCTGATTATCCGCATCCATCGTTTCTCCCAGCGGAAAGTTGGCCCGGTGTTGCGACATGACTGTATCTCTTTCTCAAAGCGTCGCCATTACCGGTTCTGAAGTTCGCCGCGATCGAACGGACTGTTGCTCGCGCTGTGATTGGACGATCGGTGAACCCGATCGCGCCACCGTCGCGTTTAGATACAGTCGTGTCGCAACGTGTCGCCGGACCAACATTCTGTCGGGAGAAACGACGGACGCGGATAATCAGGCACGACGATCCCCAATTCGCGAAAGAATCGGAGATTCGCTTGAAGATGGAAATATCGCGGGGCGCAGAGAGAAACTCGAAGGTAAAACGAAAAGCGCAGGTGCGAACGCGCTACTCAAATTTCGTTCGAGTCAACTAAATGGGTTTTTCAGTGCAGTGCGGACTTTTCGTTCGAGAAATATTCTGTAATTGTTCATCGCCGAAAAGTAAAAAGCGAGCTTAATCGAGCACTTGGTAATCGTCGCTTAGCTACAGTGGTATGTGTGTGTGTGTGTGTGTGTCGAAAGTTTGTTGCTTAGTTGCTTATTGTTGGCTCGCGTTTACGCCACTTTCCGCGACTAACTTCTCGCGGAACTCGCTTGTTACCACGCGCGAGATGTACGCGCAACTGCTTTCGGGGGGTTGGAAGGCAAGGGAGATAGGAAAGGTGTATGCTTCTCGCCTCCTGAGTTCTTCACGCGGCAAAGATTTCGGATCCCGTCCGGATCGGCGGCGTTAAGTTTGCTCCGATACGAAAGTTCGATTGTTTCTGCCGGACGCTCGGGGCTCTCTTCATTAAACGGCGGGTCCACCCCTGCACCCCGTATATCTATATATCTCTCCGTGATACACTTTGGCACACGAGCACGTCTGCGGATCGCGAGAAGGGACGACGGGTAGTTACGAGTGCGGAGCGAAGATAGCGAACGAAGCGAAATATATGGCCGAATTGATCATAAATCCCGAGGAGTTTCGTCCAGCGCGATATATACGCGCGTACGATATTTAATACCTAGGCGTTACTCGCGTAACGTTCTCCGTAGGAGGGTGAGTCAGCTCGCGCGCAGTCACCGAGGAAATATAAGTGAAAATATAAGAGAATGTTCGCGCGCTGAATAATACGTGTCGTGCGAATGTAAAACGGAACGAGCGGTAAAATCAAGTTAGTCAAGTCAGCTTGGCAAAATCAGGCTACTGAGACGATTAATCTTGAGATGAAAGTTTTTGAATTTATACACTTTAAGAAATGACACTTGTTATTTTATATTTATATATATATATATACATATATATTTTTTGTTCACTCTTAACGAATCTTTTATTCGTCATAGGATTTTATACGCGACAATTGGAAACAATTGTTTGCGCGTAAGCAAACTTCGCTAATTAAAATAATTATATCGTAAAGTACCGGATTTTCATTTTTGGCGATATTAAGGGGCCTCTAAATAAGTTGATTATTTACGCAAAAATATATATATTTTCCTATAACATTATTTAACTATCTAAGTAATAATGTTAATTTTCAGCGAAATTAAGATAAATATATATACACACAATGTTACAAATACGGAGATATTATATAGTTTTCATTTTTCTTATTGGTTCTTTATTTATATATACAGTTGTATTAATAGGGGTGTACACATAATAAAAAGTGATATATAAATATTTAAAAATATGTGTGCGTATGTAAATATATCGCGGATATCACTAAAAATTGTAAATTTCCTGTTTTCAAAACAAAATTGTCAATAATTTTGAAATTTTTGTATGTCTTTATATTAATCTTTAATATCACAGTAGTTTTTCATTAAATGTGGTTTAGAAGAAATTAAAAATAGGACATTAGGAACTTTAAGATGTACGTAGGAAAATACTTAGTTGCAAATATCTTTAGTTGCAAATATCTCCATACAGTCAATTGTTTTCTAATTGCGCCAATAATTAGGTCATTGTTAAAATCTATATATAATTCAAGTTTCAACAAATTCTTAAGAAATCCATTTTATACTACAACTACTTTAAGGGTAAAGCGAAGAGAGTGATTTTGTTAAGAGTGACTGAATATGAAAAAACTTAATATAGGTGTTATAACTTTTTACAAGCATTTACCGTCGAAATAACCAGTTTCTTTTTCGTCTATCTATCGAAACAATCGCCGTTTCCGCATTAAAAAAGAACGATCGCGCGATCGGCTCGATCCCACTTCGATGGATCACCGAGATACACGGGGAACAGAGCCAGCCGCGCGGTTCGCAAGTTAATGGAAACGCGTGACAGCCGATTAACTTATCGGCCCTGAAAATCGATTGTCGGCGCGCCGCGTATTCGGTCGAGGCACGATTCGGCCTGCTGGAAAAATATAAGTAAAGATCCGAGTCGGGAAAGTCGTTTTGTGGACGTCGGAGGGACGCGCGGGGGACACGGTAGGTTGGCCGTCGGCCAACCAGTTCGCATTTGGGTCAAACTGACCTGCCGCCATCCTCCGAACATCTAGCGAGCCAACAACGGCGGCGACCACCCCCGCATCTGCGAGGGTGAGGATGACTGCGCGAACTGTTCCTTCTTCCATAACACCGGCGTCCACGTAATCGCCGTGCTGAACGCTTTTACGTGCCCGGGCCACGCGGGCGCGTCCTGAGACGCGGCGTATTCCCTCTCATAAAACACTGAAAAAAGAATTTAGTAACAAATGATAAAATTTGATTAATACATGCCGACCAAATATTTGATTACCGCAACTACATAATTTGGTTCTGTGTGTATATTATATGTACAATAGTACATATAATTTCGTATACATAGTGTACGAAATACACTGTGTATAATGTATATACAGTATACGAAACTACAGTACGGAACTAAATTATTTGGTTGCAGTAATCAAGCATTTGGTCGGCATATATTATAACCAAATTTTGATACTTGTTATTAAATCCTTCTTCCATTGAATGGTTTGTGTGCTTCGCTTACGTAAGTAGAGACTTGTAAATGTAACCGACGCGCGGGCGACGGANCTTGCGTGCTTCGCTTACGTAAGTAGAGACTTGTAAATGTAACCGACGCGCGGGCGACGGAGCATGAATAATGCAGGAGCTTCGAAAGTTGAATCAACATTCGTTAAATTCGTCAAGATTTGTCAGACTTGAGTCGGGCCGCGCGACTCGCCGGTATCTCCTCGCGCGGAACACGAGACGCTCAACATTATCGCCCGACGAATAACTTTTATTGTATTCGAAAGTAATGATAATAATGACTTCATTGGATGTTACAAAGTTTAGCGATCGATGTATGCTATATTACTCGCACTAATGACATCCAAGAAGCGAGGCATCGGCAAATTAAGTTGTTTTTTTATTGCTTTACCGAGATAAATATATTAATTAATAAATATGACTCTGTCTGAATATATAAAATTGCTCGCAGCTGAGCGAAAAACTTGCAAAGAAGATGACGACCGAATTCTTAATGGAAAGAGATTATGTACAGAAAAAAATGCTAGTTTCAAATAAATAATTAATACTTCAATACTCCCTGATAAATTTTTACTTGAATTAAATAAATTAGATGAGTACTTAGATCAAGTAAATATTTTACTTGCGTAATTTACTAGGAAAATATCTTACTTGGATCAAGTAAATATTACTTGATTCAAGTCAAAATTTGCTAAGGAAAATTGGAGTAATTATTTGTTCGAATCTAGCACTTTTTCTGTCTAATATTTCACTGCAATGTGTGAGGAAGCTGCATTGAGAAAAGAACTCTTAAAAAGTTATCTGTAGGAAACGTAAGCTTTATTTGACAAATAAGGTTTATTTCTGTGACATAAATCTTATATCCACCAAATAAATTTTTATAAATACTTTTTTCCCAATACGCCTGAAACTTAGTTGAGCTATGACGAGGGAAGACTAACTAATGTTCCGAACGAGTGTCGTACGAATCGACAGCATGGGAGTCAATGTTGTATCGAAGAAGCATATAGGATAGAAAAAATAAACGTTCTTATTTGTCGGACTGTTTAACGGATCGTTTAACATCATATTAGATCATATTAAATAAAAATTCGCGACGGGCTATCCGGCGGATACAATACTTGGTGATCCCAAGAGACCAACCCGGCCGTCGTAAAGCATCGTGTAGAGAGGCGAGAACTAATATATAATTTCAGGCAATTCCAGATACATCAGGAGCTGTTAAAGCTCACGGCATAATTTATGGCGCGATCGTTTCGCCGGTAGCTTCCAGTCTCCTTTGAGACTAATGGAAATCATACCGTAGGGAGCGTGAGCGGAGTCCATAAAGAACAGGCGGTCTATGCCGCGCCCATGAATGCCTAGGGTTATCAATGCTTCGTAAAATGGGTTATCATCGGGCGCGGTAACGTTCCTCGTCAGGCGATATTTCTGTTATTGTTGCGCCTCGAAACGCCGCGAGAATTGTATGTTTTTTTATTTTCTTTCTCAAGAACGTCACGTCACATAAACGAGGCGAAGAAGCGCGAAGAATCGATAGAGACACCTATCGATGGTGCACTATAAAAATAGTCACGTAATAGTTAACAAGTGTATTTGGTTCAGTGTGTCAGCGTAATGTTTGGTTAGTATCAGATGTCGTAATAATTATCAAGTGTTTGATATAATAACATATAATAATTATCATAAATATAATATTTAAAATCACATAATAATTATTAAAACGAATTCTTGAAAGAGTTGAATTAATTAAATTATTTAGTAATTAATAACGAAGAATTTTATAATAATTACCAAATAGTTTGACAATTATCAAAGCATTTGGAAAATACTAAATCATCTGGTAATTCTTAATATCGTCCACATAATGTGATTAATATTATTAAACAATATGGTTTTATTTAGCAAACAGTTTGGTGATGACGTGCCACATAAATTAGTATATAGATAAAATGCTAGATTCAAGTAAATAATTACTCCGATACTGCTGAGCAAATTTTTACTTGGATTAAATAAACTTTACTTAAATT